CAAACCCTTAAAGCCCGGCCCCCCCCCCCCCCCAACCAAAACCCAAACAAAAAAAATCAAACCCCCACAAAAATTACCCCCCCCCCCCGCGCCCGAAACCTTAAAAAATAGTTTTGCGTAGGTTTTAGAGCATGCGCTTTCATTTGTACGGATTAAAAAACATTTTTGATCAGAAAAGTTTTTCATTGCGAAAACCTAGTTTTTCAAAAACCGGGGTCTGCAAAGCCGTATTGGCATAAACCATCGTCATATTCGGAATCAACATGCTCGATTATCCATTGTCCACTAAGTTTTACGTCAAAAGCGATTTGACAGTAGAGGGCCTTCCCTCGTTAGTAAGAAGTTCGCGTTCTTTCTTTTCTCCATCTCATTTTCGTCTTCATTCTCTTATAGTTTTTACATGTTATGATGTAAGAATTATAAGAATTTTAGACACTTCTTAAATTATCTTATTAAGATCTTGATAAACAATTTTAAGGTCTTGTTAAATATATGAAAAAGATCTGATAACTATTTTCTGTTCCTTATAACTAACGAGAGAACCTCTCCAGGTGCCTCCTCGCTTTTTGTACATAACATAGTTGATTATATGTAATTGAGGTTGCTGATTCCGAATTCATAGTTATTTATGCTCTTATCGGTTTTTTATTTTAAGAATACCAATTCTGAATCTGAGTTTAAAATTACATTAGATTGAGGATAACACCGCTAAAACTTCTTTCATAGCTTTCGCTGTAGTATAATATGTTCAAACTGAGGAGCTTATTTTATCGTTGCTCAGTGGCAACAGAAGAGTAACAGCAAGGTCACATATCGTTTCAAAGTATATCCTGTATAACATGCGGTGCTCAACTTTCCTTTTAACTAGAAACAAACTTTTTAATCCTATTTTATTAAAATTACATGTCGTATGTAATTATTACAAAACGCAACTCCGTTGCATAGTAATAATTCCATTCGTTTTCTCTGTTCGAAGCCTAATTAAGCTGATAAAGCGTCTTTGTTAAACATTAGCTGACAATAACAAATCGTAGCATGGCCACGCTAATTCCCTTATCTGATTACTATTAAAAGTTCATTCACATAATTGAAAGTCTTCTATTGACATTTCATTGGGACTACCATGTTTCAAAACACCAGCATTGTTGAAAGCTCTATCTAGCCGACCGTATTTGGTTACTATTCCATCAATTAATGCTTTTACTTCATCTTCTTTGATACATCTGTCTTGATAAACATTGTATCACCGCTATTATTAGTTATCTCTTTGACTAATTTATCACCATTTTCAGCACGACGTCCAGCTAGGACAACTTTTGTACCATGAGTTGCTAATAGTTTGGCTGTAGCAGGATCAATGCCCGATGTAGCCCATGTCACAAGAATAACTTTATCAGCCACTGATAATCTTGAATATGCAGCGGGTATTTGTAAACTACGCCATCACCCACCAACACTCACCAACACCCCCAAACTGCCCGAGATCAGTCTAGATCGATAGAGCGCGTCAGATAACTCTACACCAACACCCACTTGGACCTACACCTGAGGTGAACGAAATACTTCCACCAACACCCGCCATCACCCAGATGGACGCGTATTTGCATCTGCTGATCATCTCCACATTATTCAGGACGCTGAGTAACCTATAGAAACGCACGTACATCACGTATCCTGTTCCTCACCCCCACGTTCAGGGTACCTCAGGTGTAGGTCCGAGTGGGTGTTGGTAGATGTTGGTGTAGAGTTATCTGACGCGCTCTATCGATCTAGACTGGTCTAGGACAGTTTGGGGGTGTTGGTGGGTGATGGCGTAGTTTACAAATACCCATATGCAGGTGGATTGTGAGCAACAGTAGCAGACATACTTTCGTGAGCTTATTGATTGATTGATATTTTAGTAGCCACAAGTAGACGATAGATAGTGAGAAAGATGATAGATAGTGAAAAGGAACACAAATACACATCTTTACATAAACAAAAAAACAAAAGCGTGCTACTGGAAAGGTAAAAAAAGTTCTGAAAACCTATAAACTTTGCCACCTTATTTTAAAACGATTAAAGCTCACGATAGTTCCTGAGCCTTGTTTTAAACGACTTTATTGTGGGTGATATAACAACCTGTTTCGGGAAGGGTTAGATTCCAGTATCGTGTTGTTTGGCAGACAAATGATTGGAGAACGGTTTCTGTTCTAGCAAAAGAAGTTTCTACTGTTTTCGAATGATTAAGACGGCTTGATCTTCTAGATTGGTCGTATTGGATAAGATTTAGTCTAGATAAAGGGGAGAGGCCGTTAACGATTTTAGAAAAATGTATAAGGCGGAAGTATTTTCGTCTTCCTTGGAGTAGAGACAGATTCAACCTTCTAACTAAATTCTGACCTGGGGTAGAAAAGTGCTGTAAAAGAAAGATAGAGAAATAAACAATTCTCTTCATATTTCAAATGTTAGTAGAAACTAAACTAAAAACTTGGTAGATGATTTCGTACATTACGTGAATATAATGATTTGCTTTTAGAAACTGGGATGATTCAGTCTGTTGGCAATTTCTGATCTCGTCTGCTGTTCAAATCCCAGTTTCTGAGAATACTGCGAATATTAAATCGTGACGTCGATATTGCTTATTGTCGTCTTATAGTAGGCTTTTCCCAGTTGAGAAAAGATCTGTGCGACAAGGACAGGGTCAACAATCCGTTCTGTTCTTGTGACAACATCACTCCTGAGACATCAAATCATGCCTTTTTTGATTGTGTTCTGTATAAGAACGAAAGAAATCTACTTCTCTCTGATTTAAACAATAAACTTCCTAGTCTAAAAATCGATGCTAAAACATGGACAAAATGAGAAATGATTATGGGAATAACATGCTTTTGATCCTGGTTGCCAAATTTCAATAAAAATCATGCAAAAGGTCTTGGTTACGAAAACGATTTGAAACTAAATGATACAATAACGATTGACAATGAACAACGTCAACAAATTCAATCGTCAACAAATTGACGATTGAAACTGAATAGAACAGAAGAGCATTTTAAAATCTGGATTATCAAACTCAGTTAAGTGTTTACACGATAGATTATTCTTTACATAAATTAAGATGCCACCACCTTTTTTCCCTACTCTCTCTCTCTTCGAAGGGGCACCTGAAAACCGTTTAGACTTGATGTCTCGTTATGATTAACAAAAAACAATATACAGTTTTACACATAAATCTTAATCATCAAGTAGAAATGACAAGTTCTAACACAAGTTTTGCTTGGCATCATACTTCAGATACATCACAATGCATCAACGAGAAAAAACTTCAAGTCCAAATTTGTTTAATTCCATTTAATATAACTGAAAAGCATTTTTGTAAAATCATTTTACGAAAATGTTTTTCAATTATATTAAATATACTTAGTTTTATAAGAAACGTAAAAAATTCAAAGAATGTCAATATATTTGTTTAATTCCGGAAAGATGGCATATAGTTAGACATGCAGGCATGCAACGGTTACGATTAACCGTTCCACCGGTTATTTACGATTACGATTATGACCGGTTAATAACCGTAACCGCTGCATGCCTACATATAGTTAAGGCCCTCCCTCAGGGTCAGAAACCTATCTCAGCCCAGGTAGGTCTGCTCTGAACCAAACTTTCAGGGAATGTTGACCATGTCAAAGTGTGGTAACGAAAGTTTTTTTCAGCGTCACTTGCAACTTAAGGGTCAAAAATAGGTGTCTGCCATTCACAAGAATTCTCGCTCCAGGTAAATGATAGAGAGCTCGGGCTGCCTAGGAGTTGACATAGCCCAATGTTTACATTTTTCACTTGCTGATTTCTCGTGCTTAACAGAACTTCAAAGTCCGAAAAATCCTTACAAAGTTTCTTAGAAATCCGCATCTCTATAAAAAATAGAAGCATAATTTAAAAATCGGACTCTGTTAACTCCTAACTATAGGTGTTATCTACAAATCGAAAAAAAGAAAAACTTCCTCCGATGTATCGTTATCAAGAATTCCTGTGCGTGGCGAAAGCTCAAAAAGCAGGCTTAAGAAAAACGCAGAATAAGTTTTGATTCTGTTAAACGCGTTTTACTTAAAAACTGTTTGAGCGTTAAATAATTTGTCCATATTTTGCTACAGATTAGCGGCCATGGCGGATCTAATGAATATTGGGCATTCATGTGCGGCACATGTGTGCCCTTATGGAATAAAAGTGCAAAAAAGCCAAAGTTGTTTGCTATAGGGCTTCTGGAAAACTCGCTCAAAAGCTTTGAAAAACCTATCCTATCGACAGAAAAAATTATGTCATTAGAAAGTAGACACTTTGAGCTATCGAACTATATGCTTTTCTCAAAATCAATATTATTGCCAAAAATCGANCACCCAACACCACCCACCCCACCACCCCCCCGCCCCCCCCCGGGCCGCGGGGGGGGGGGGGGCCCCCCCCCGGGCGCTTAAGAACTTCATTACTAGAAACCTGCCACAGCATCAGAAATAAATCACAAAAATATAACAAAATCATAGAATCTGCATTCAACGTGCATAATACCAAATAGTTACCCCAGAAAGTAATACTGCAGTATAGTTTAGAAAGTTGTAGTAGTCTTACACAGCTAGGCTCATAGGTTGTCATAATTTTAGGCTAGATATCTCAAAGTTCATACTCGGTTCTTTCCTATGCAAAAGAGTATCGTCGTACTACTCGAAAGATAACACTTCGTGAGGATGATTCAGCCAAGAAAAAACAAGTTTTGTCGCTGTCGAGAACTTGTGAGTACTCACCTATAGAACCGGGCACAGTGGACATCCCAGTCTTTTATGAATAAACACATTTTCATGTACTAACTGAAACTTGATTGAATTGCATTGATAAATAAGCGATAATACTGACCGAATAGTGAAGGGGCTGATCAGCTGCGCAGAGATATGTACTCAAGTAAGTATTTGTTTCTATGAGCATGAGCATATTTGTGAGTGTACAAGTGTCTGTCAAAACACTCTAGCTTTTCAACAAAAGTTATTAAAATAATTACGTATCGAAAGCATAGTTTCTATAAAGTAATTTAATGAATGGTAGTTCAACGAAAATTCAATGCATTGATGTGGAAGGCTTGCCACACATTTAAGCATGACTCATCCATCTGAAGCATCACGGACTGATCTTGTCTCTTGTGTTTTATCCAGTAACTTATTGGGCAGTACTTTTCTTGGCCAGTTTTAGCTACTAATAATTTTTGTTATTGACGTTTTAGAGAAAAAACGTACGAGACAACTTCACTGTAAACGAATATTACCCTTAAGGATAATAAAATAGCTCCACGTAATAATTCAATAATTTATTCATAGTTTATCTTAGTTATAATCAGCTATTTTGATCATTAATGGTTTCATTTCATGTGCATTGTTATGTGATTCACCAAATATTTAATCATAACGTTTGAGTAGCTAAAACTAGTATCTGAAATTTTTTATTTCCATACTGATCATGTCCATATTAGGTATGCATCAGTTTCGATTATTAACCGAAAACCGACCATTGGTTATCACCGAATAAACTTTATAATGTACCCGATTGTCATTGTTGCTGTTCTAGTTTTCAAAATTTGGATAAACTCAAATCAAAATTGCTGATTTTTCACGCAGATGTGAGTATAACTCTCGATAGCATTACTTAAAATATTTCTATCCAAATTTTGAAAACTAAAACAGTAACAATGAAAACCGAGCACATTATCAAGTTTATTCGGTATATAACCGATGTTCCGTTATTTCGGTTTTTGATTTAACCGAATCGATGCACACCTAGTCCAGATGATGGTTGACAATTAATATCACTGAAATCTAACAATTCGACCTCTGCCAGCGGTTATACATTTTTTCAATAGTAATTCTAATTATGATTAAATATTACTACTTGTTTATTCAGAAATCTAACAGCTTTTTGTGATAATTTATCTTTACTGTTTAGATCAAACAAGTTATTTTTCATCTCAAAAAACCTAAAATCATACGCTTCAAATTCCTTTGAATCACTATGTGATATTGTTAATAGTACTAATCATTCATCTCAATATTTTCCTGATAAGTTCCCACCCAATAAATACAGATAATTATCATGCACAAAAAATATTAGAAATATTGCTTTTATCAAAACTATTGTCATTCACGAAATTTTTAGAAACTGAGGTATCAACCAAATTATATCCGTGTGACTATAATAACAAGAACTTTATTATAGTGTGATATCAAGACTACGGATTTTTGTAGTGTCAATAATTTCAACAGAAACTGCTTGGTGAAAAGAGCACAAGCGCTTGAGTGACGAATGAGAAAAGTTGCAGTGACGCCTGTACTTGTTTTATGACCGACTATGCTTATACAAAAATAAAAACAGCTTCCGAAAATGTAGAAAATAAAATACATCTGTTGAGTAACTTTAAATGTTGTATAATGTATCCGAAAACATATATTAAAAATTAAAATTTTCTTTTTATTGTGTTCGTATTAGATAATCTCTCATATATTTTGACATAGTTTGTACACTCATCAAGCAAGTCTAATGCCAACAGATTTGATTTGATAATAGTCACGTAAACCATAACTGCCCCTAAAATTGAATTCTGCAATTTATTTCTAGTTGCATAAATTACCGTTCAAAACACGAACATTTCTCTTCTAGGTCCAGACTGTTTATAACCTCCAAATGGTATATTACTACGCATAGCATGATAATCATTTATCCATACTGAGCCAGCTTTTAATTTGTTAATAAATTTTAATGTTCATGTTAAATGTTCTGTAATAACACCAGCAGCCAATCCAAAATCTGTATTATTTGCACGTTGAATGACGTCATCATAATCAGTATACTTC